ACATCGGGTCTTAATAAGTATTGCTTTGAGTTAATCATATAATATTCATATGGCCTTAAAAAAATCTCCATAACACTAAGTTCCTTAAACTAAGTTCAAAAGTCGGACGGAGCCGACTAAATGATACCACCGCTTTGGGTACACACAAGAGATGTTAATATTGAGATGAAATCGAGCGAAATTAAATGTGCTATCTAGATAGTTATTTGAACCAATTGAAAAAACCTCATACATATACCATGTTAAACGGGCTAACTTGGATTCTTTGGTGTACCATTTGTATGAAATCGAGTAAAATTAGGCAAATCTATCTGAACCGATTTTCACGACACTTGACAGACATCACTGTGGGCTCAATTCAGTACAATATGCCAAATTTCATGCAAATCGAATGATATATAGGGATTTTGGTGCACCATTTACATTAAATCGGACAAAACTATATATGGGAGCTATATTTAAATCTGACCCGATTTTCACGACACTTGACAGACATCACTCTAGACTCCATTCACTACATTATGCCAAATTTCATGCAAATCGAATGATATATAGGGACTTTGGTGCACCATTTACATTCTCTCGTTTCCTTTCGCAGTACAGTTCCTGTAGTTGTTTGTAACAGGCAAAAGGAACCATGTGTTTATCTCGTTTCCTTTTGCCTGCTACAATCATATGTACAATGACATAATACCCTGTACCACAGTGTGGTCAAAGAAATCAAATAGATTTCTACTTAACTTCTTAAAATGTGTGCTGCTGGTTGTTAACGTGGGTTCTTCAAAGCAAAACTCTACAAAAAACAACAACAGGAACTGTACTGCGATATTATTCCTGCCAGCACCTCAAAATCAATGTCGGCACCGTCGCGATCTTTCAACACAAATGCTCTGCCTTCTACATTAAGATTCAGCAGGTTTACAACATTGAAAAACATTAATTAGCAAAGTATTTCATTGGTTAACGCTTTTAGGCATTACTCACTTGAAAGTAGTATTCCTTTCGGAGTGAAATCCTCACTTTCTGGATCAGAAGTCTTAATTATGTAAAATTTTCCACCACTTTTAACTTTTTAACATTGCAATGGTTTTTTCTTACTTTTCTTCTTCTTCTTCTATTTGTAAACACGTGAGAGACACGCAACTTAACAGCTGTTTTTAATACCTTACAAGGTGTTGTTTTTAAACTTTAAGCAATAACATTTTTCTATGTAAACAAAACAAGAAAATCATGAGAGAGAGACACAACTGTTGGTGTTTTTTTAAACATTAAGGAATAAAATTTTTCTATGAGAGAAATTTATTTCTTTGTTGGTGTTAAAATTAAACTTAAAGTAATAAACTAAAGAGAAACACATTTTTAATTCCTTTTTTGGTGTTATATTTAAACCAAATTGAACTGTTTTTTCTTTTATAGAAATAGTTAAATCAAATTTTGGTGTTATTTTTATACCCAGTAAGCATTAAATAACTCAAATTTCTCATGGCGTTAAAATAATTCCCTGAAGTATTTAAATTTGTACCATATGGTTTAAAATATAAACTATTTTGGAATTAATTTTATGATTAATTCCAAAGAAGTTTAAATTTAACTCCGCTATGTTCAAGGTGTATTTAATAAGGTGTAAGTGACATTCATATGGTTTCAAACTTTTTCCTTTTTTGTTTGTAAAGTAAATTGTCAAAAACATTTTCAATAACATTTCAATTTCAAAAATGGTCTTTAAATTTACGCTTTTTTTATAATAAAAATTCAAGAAAACTACATTCATAGAGATGGACGGAAAGGAAACCTAGGATTAAATCAGTTATAACCCCGTTCGCCGATTGGTCCACATATCTTATGTTATGTGTGGGAATCTGTCCATAAATCCCAGCTACTCATAAAATCGAGGAGATTATGTTAGCCTATATTGGAATCGGCCCCTTGGTGCTTGTCACAATCCTCGGCGGAGGTTAAATACACCTACGGTCAACACAATTTCCATGATTTAGTCTTTGACCGGGGATTTATGTTCTTCAATTTGAAGCCACTCCATAGAAAAAAAGATTGTAATTCACAATATAAACAACATCACATGGAGCCATGGGCTGCATGTGGGAAACTTAAAATTAATCGCGACCAGGTCTTAAACTTTATTCTTCACTAACCTAAAACCACTAATAACCCAAGAATACACAAATTCATTAATTATTCCTCAAAGAATAGTTCTTGACAAAAATAAATTTTTAATTATTTTTGTTTAGTTTTGTCAAAAACTTATTGTCAGCATGACAATTTAATTTCTATAACAACAATGTTGTTTTTGTAAAATATTTGTTGCTGTATCTGATGCATACACCTTGGCTATGTTTAAAATTTAATCCAAAACTTTTTACTGTGTGTCGATAATACTGTTTTGACATTTCTACAACTAGAAAAGTGAATAAAATATTTCAGAAAAACTATTTATATGTGATGATAAGTTCAGTGGAACTATTTTTTGATGATGAAAATTATGTTGAAAGTGTGTCATTTATTAGAAGGCATTTAAGAGATAAATCTATTAGAACTACCATCAGTTCTGTGAGTAGATGCTGACGTTTAGAGAAATGTTCAATCAAGTGCTCATATTAGCTTGAAGGCGTATTTTCGACTACCAAAGATGCCGTTGTGTACATTGATGAAGCCTGTGGAGGGAAGTTTTCAAAAGTCCCATAGCAATGACTTCAACCTTGGCATGGCTCAGCCGACAATGTCGGTGGTTTTCGCCTAAGTTATCCGGCTAATAGAGGAAAAACTGTGTAAAATTTTGATTGTATCCAAAATAACGGAGGAGGAAAAAAGAAGGATAAAATTTTTTTATTCGAAAACTAAGTTCCAGGGTGTTGTCGGATGTATTGATGATACACACGTACATATCATGGACCCAAAAGAAGATGTTCGCCACGTTCTGCCATTCATTTGGAATGCGTGTTGGTGGGCCATAGCAGTTAAGGTCTTCTGAAATGGCCTTCCACACATCATCGATAGTGGCTTTAGTTTGACCAAAAGCTCACCCAAATGTAGCCGCGTGCTACATTTGGGTGAGCTTCCATCCGGGCAATAAGGACCTCAAATTGTTCTTTTGTAGTAATATTAACCATTATGGGAAGCCTACAAAGTTCAGTTATTATATACAGCAACAAGAAATAAATGGTTGCCGAAAAATTCTATTTGAAGCAACTGAAGTTGACAACAGTTGCCATCCATGGTTGCCATCCGTAATCGACCCATTAGTTGTAAAACTCGGATTGGTCCTTCAGAAATTAAATATATTTTATAAATTAAATCTTTCCAATTTTTATCACACAACATTTAAACAGATTAAAATTTATATATTTACCCCAGTCTAACCTTCGTATACATTCGTGCTTTATAGGTATATGAACGTTGGTTGTTGGTACATCTTGATCGTTACCTGAAATTTTTAATTCTCTAGACTGAGCAACGAGATTTTTGTCTCTCCAATTTCTTGGGTTAATATTTTTTAATTCAATTTTTTCTATGTACCTCCGAAATTTGAAAAGTTTAGTCGCTTCAAGTGATTTGTTGCCTCGAAAACTTGCCATTGAGTCCATAGTGCGATGTAGGGAACTTCAGATTTTTTTAATTGTCACGACTTATGTTCAAGCTACTAGCCCAATTTTCCAACCCGGAGTGTCTGTCAAAGTAAATTTTTTTTTTCATTAAAAGGTGCAGTTTTAGAAAATCATAGACATCCACAAGCAAATCTACTACATACTTAAATATATAAATAAAAATACAATTTCAATTTTTTTTTACATTAATTTTATTTAAATATTTCTCTCGTTTACGAAAATAGTACACTGACATTTTTAATTTGTTGAATTTAGTTTAAACAATAATGGCGTATAATTAGAAAAAAAAATAATAGTAATAAAAATAAAATATATTTACATACACCCACTAAATTTAGATGTATGTGTGTATTCAAGTATTTAACAATTTCAAAAATATTGTGCATTGGTTGTTGTAGTTGTTTTCTTTTTGTTTAAAGGTACTTCTAAATTCAATTGTTTGAATTATTAATAACAATATTTATTGAAAATATCTAGTGTTGTTGTTATTTTAGGTAATGTTGTTAATTAGAAAAAATAGGTTTAAATAAATATTTATTTAGTGGCTGGTTTTGTTGTTATTAATTAAATAAATTTTTAAATTAGGATATATAATGGTTGTTGTTGTTGGACTGGAAAACAAGGAACACTTATTCTCTTCAAAACAATTCAATTGTTAAGAGCCAGTTTATCTGTTATGATAGACTTACGAAACAAATAATTATAAAATGGAGGAGGTATTAACACCAAAATAAGGAAATTATTAAAAAAATATTATGTATATCAAATAAATATTAAATAGAAACTATACAATTAAATAATAGTTTTATGGAGAAGAAGAGGAGAAACAGCTATAACCCAGGATTAGAAATTAAAGAGATGATTTTTTTATTTTAGTTTTGTTTAAATACAATATTAATAATAAAAAATAAAAATTAAAAAAAGAGAAAATAAAAAAAATGTTTCAATTTTTTTTTTTCATTATAAACAAATACATAGACTTGGTCATACAATATCGGTAACTGTGTACATATGTATGTGTATTTTATAAATTAATTAATTTATTAATTTTTCTTCATATATATATTTTTTTGTAATGCAATGCAATTTATAATTTGTTGCTTGGTTGGCTGCGGCGGCATCATCGACTTTGCATGGATTTCATTTTGCATTTTTATGGAAATATTTTTTTTTCGTTTTTAAGAAATGCAATCTATTTGAAAGGGAAATAAATAATTAATTTATTTGTGTGTGTGTGTGTTTTTCGTGGAGGTGTTTCTAATTGTTGTTGCTTGTGTATGGTTTTCTTAATTGATTTTGTAGTTTTTTTTCTCTTGTTTTACAATATTGCTCCAATAGTTGCTGTTGTATTTCCTTAATATATTTTACAATTTAATTTTTTGTTTTGTTTTTGTTATTGGCTGACTTGTTCGTAGCGTATAATTCAAGATGATGTGGCCCAATTTACATGAGCTTTTGCTTGGCACATTCGGGGCAAATAATATCGGGTCCATCGGTGATGAAACCACGTCCGACTAGACTAGTCCTGCAGCTGGCACAGACGAAACAGTCATGATGCCAGTGACGATTTTCAAATGAAATGAAACGAGTGCCACCAATACCTAAATGGAAAGAGATAACAAATAAACATTATTAAAATAAATTATAAATAGAAGGTTTTTATCTCCACTTACCGGTTATGGGTTTGACACAAGAAGTGCAGCGTTTGGCAAATAGTTCACCGAAACATTCAGCACAATAAGGCTTCTCGTCGCGACTAGTGAAACGTTGACCAGCCAACGTAATGTTGCAGTGGGTGCAAGTGAAGCATTCACGATGCCAGGGTTCGTTCTTGTAGGTCACACCACCAGAAGTGATAACCTAGAATACCAAAAAATATTATATTATAATTTCATTCATTTGATGATTTAATTTCAAAAATATATCATTTTTATATCCATATTTATCACGCTTATCATTTTGAAAATTTCAAACTCAATTAAGGAAAAAAACTTCCTAACATTTTCTCTGACCAATTACTAAATATAGTGCAATGTAAATGTACTATAACCTAGTGAGATTGTTAAAGTACTGTATGCCCCACGATGCGATAATAAAGTGATGTATCCAAACAAACCCCTTTGTTTTTGTCTCTACCATCTGTCAAAATTTTCCTTATAATATTTCACTTTGACAGTTAATCGAGACATCAAATGCGCTAAATGGACTACCTATTTATTGTGCCATGGAATGTACCTGAAATTAATGACATAATAATAAGGTGATATATCAAAACAAAAACATCTGTTTTTTATTCGACCATCTGTCAAATTTTATCTAGTAACATTTATCATGGTTGGCAACATTGCATGTCGAATTCAAGTAGAAGCTATGCACATTGACAGTTAATCGGATAGTCAGCTGCGTTAAATGAAGTACCTATTTATTGTGTCATATACCAGTTTAAATCGGCTCGATAAACGATTAACCATTAACGACGATTTAAATGATAGTCAGCTGATGTTTGTATACATACTAAATTATTAATTTGTGCAATTTTTTTTTTTTGGAATTTGAAAATGGAATGAAGTATTAAACATTTAATATATTCTCTTCTAATGAAAAGTTAACGGTATGGAGAAAACCCAATAAAGGGATGGATATAGCAAATTTGTGATCCACAGTAAAGCATGGTGGCGGCTCGCAAATGGTTTGGGGTGTATGTCATCTGCTGGAGTGGGGCATATAGTGTTTGTTGATGGAAAAATTGATAAATATGCAAATTTTGGAATTTTTAAAAACAATTTAAAACAATCCGGTGAAAAGGGGAACTTAAACTGTTTTAAGTTAAGTTTCAATTAAGTTATTTTTCAATTACAACTGTTCCAAAGTATTCGAAACAGTGATATGAACGAAGTCTTATGTCAAAAATTTTGATTTTGTTTACGTTTTGTTTTATAGACCTTGGTTTGGGATTTGAGGATTTTGACAGCAAGCTTGAGAGGCTGCTAAGCTTTTCCTTCTGGATCTTGGTCTTATTAGTGTCACTAATTAGACACTTGATCTCTGTCATATTTTTTCTTATACGTTTGGTACTCTTATTTTTGAGCTGCCATGGTGAAAACATAAACAAACATCAGCTGATAGCCATATTAAATGATCTCAGAGAAGTTGTAAACAATTTGTTTTAATTTTTCAAAAAAAAAAAAAAAAAAAAAATTGGTATAAACATCAACTAACCTTGTTGCATTTAATGCATCGAGTAGCAAACTTCTCCTCATAACAGCCAGCACAGTAGATCTCCTGTTCCCTGGGGATGAATGACTTGGTGCCAATGGCCGTTTTGCAGACACAGCAGCAGAAACAATTTTCATGCCATTGCCGGGTCTTGTATTCCATTTTCTTTGTGCCTGAAAGTTACGTGAAAAAGAAAAAACTTATTAACAACAATTGTTTAAATCATTTATATAGAGTGTACTTAAAGATAAGAAATTTTAAGCATTTTTCATTATGCGAAAATGTAACTTTTTAATCGCATTCTCTGCATATTTCTTTGTGTATTATCGTGTGATTTTCGCAATGTGATGAGTGATTTTTATATTGCAAATTTTCGCAATTGCTTCGAATTGCATGTCAGACCAAATTCATTTGAGTCTCTTTATTGCAGCTGTTTTTTTTTTGTTGGTATTTCTCAAAGAATACAATTCCTCCACTTGGATGGCGTGGCATGACAAAAAGGCAAAAATTGACATTTGTCACGCAACCTTTTTTTGCAGTCGAATATAAAAGGCAATCAACGGAATATTGGGTTTTTGACATTGTGCCATTGACACAATAATAGTTAATGAAATCGAAATTTGTATATTTGTTATCTCTGCAAACCCTTAAACTATTTTGTCTATATTTTTGGAGCAAACATTTTCTATACTGCAATATTATTACAAAAGTTAGAAAAATATTTTATATAATTTAATTCTTAAGGTCATAGAGTTAATAAAATCAGTTAAAAGTACGTTCAGATTTACGAAATCCACTCGACAAATTTGTGAACATGATTAAGGTGACGTATACGCTATCGAATTGACATTTGAGATCGAGTTGATTTAGTACTCTAAACGTGCTCTAAGATCTGTATTTGAGAAAAATGGATCACTTCATTTCAGTATCCGAATCTGAATTTAAGGCACGTTTAGACTATAGTTTTTTATCATGATATTGTGCATTCTCTCGATTTACCAATCAAACCGATTCAATCCGATTAATGCAATCCATGGCACAATGAATAGGTAGTCCATTTAGATCAGCTGATGTCTTGATTAATTGTCAAAGTTCGTAATTTCTACTTGCATTCGATGTGCAATGTTGCCAACCATGTGAAATATTATATGAAAAAAATTGACAGAAGGTCAAGACAAAAACAAAGGTATTTGTTGTGATACATCACCTTATTATTGCTTATTTAAAATACAACATCCAAAAAAATAAATAATACATTAAAATTATTAAATATTCAAAATAATTAACAAAAATATGCGGCTGGAAAAAATTTTTTTGCATTCATAATAAATATATGGAAATGACATATATGGAATGGAATTGACAATTTTAATCCAGTGGATTTACTAAATCCAGTACAATGGAAGTGTACTATTACATATACGATTTTAAATTAATTGGGTTAATGAAATACACTACACTACAAATACCAGAAATACACTCAACTGTTTACATATAATGTCTGTTCCAGAGCCTACAAGAATATACAAATTTTTACTATAATAAAAATGTTTCTTTTATTTTATCGAAAAAATTCGTAGATTCTTGTACGGGAACAAACTAATACCTTTCATAATAATCTAAATGACAATCATCTGATGTTTGTACAAATACTAAATATACTACGTTGCTTTTAATTTCGTTTACAAATTGAAAAAGACCCTGCCGTATGACCACTTACATTTGTATAATAGATCATGAATCGGACCTTCAACCAATATCTAAAGTTTTATGTAAGCCTTCATTGAAATATTTTTTTCAAATAAATACCATGGTAGGTACTCAATTTAGCGCAGCTGACTATCCGATTAACTGTCGGAGTGCATAGATTTTGAGAAATATTACTAAATACACTTTGACAGATGTTTGAATAAAAAACAGATGTTTTTTTCTTTTATACATCACATTAATACCGTTGCATCATGCTTAATACTGTTATTATTAATTAACGGAATATATCAGTTTTTTTCAAATTTAATGGATGTTGTTTACGTTTTCTTAATGGAAGTCAATTCACAATAATGGATTTTGACAGCAAACTTGAGAAACAGCTGGTCTTCCTGGATGACCTTGGTTTTCGACATGGTACAATAAATAGGTTCTCCAAGATCTATTAATAAGGTCGCACAGGCAGCAATCGAAGTCGGAAAACAGCTGTTTTTCTGAAGTCTAATGTCAAATATCTCGACTTTGTTTACGTTTTCATAATGGAAGCCAATTCACAATAATGCATTTTGACAGCAAACTTGATTGGCAGCTGATATCCAGCTGGTCTCCCTGGATAGCCTTATTTAAAGGCCATGAGTTTCTCCAATTAACGCAGCAGACCATTCTTCTTAAATTCGACGTCCAATGTTGCCAAACATGAGTAATATTTCTAGGCAAAATTTGCCTTTACTTCAAGAATTTGGTTTATTTTGTTTAATGTAAACATGCTATAAGTCAACGACACACAAAGGTGACATTTATATTTTATGTTTACATTAAGAATTGTTCCAGTTTCTTTGTAATATTTTTTTTTGCGCAAATGAAAAACTTTTTCTTCATATTTTATGTTCTGCGTTTGTTTATATGTCAATTTGAAAATTAAGTTCAATGGCCTCTTGTGTGCGTGCAAGAAAATAATTACTAAAAAATAGTAACATAATAATTTTAAATATTTCTACAAAGTTTGACAACAGGAAAATATGACAATATTTCTTAAAATGTTTGACCCATTTTCCCTCCCAAAGAAAAGACAACAGAACAGACAGTAAATTATGCGATCGCATAAATCATGGTGGGAAAATTATTTTACTAGGAAAAACGCTCAATAACGCAACAGTTTAGAACTTTGTTGATTCAGACGCTTCCTCTCTCCCTTTTTCTTTCTTTTAATGACAACAATATAAAAATAGCAAACAACTTGTATATTTATATAAATATACAAGTCAAATAAATTAATAATAAAAAATCCCGTCTAGTCATAAACAATTTTCATAATTTTCCAATAAAAATGTCAATCGGAAAGTAAACAGGTTAACGACATCTATAAATAATGTATCAGAAAAGGAGGTGGGACAGCAAATAATCAATTTATGGAATTGTGTTTGTTTTATGTCTTGGATTAAATAGGGTATATTCAAATATTACACAAAAGAAAAACTCATCCTTGATTTTCATATTATAAAGTTTAAAATTACTGGTTGCCAACTGAATCAATCAATTGTCATTGTTGTCTAACAATTTTGACAAATAAATGACAAGATTTTACTCATAACCTTAATTACCAAGCTAATTGGACTAAACTTTGGCAGCATCGTTTCGTTAGAATTTATAATATAAACCGTTGATCGTCATATTTCATCGAGTGAATCACTTGAACATTTTTCATATACATACTATACATTTAAATAAAAAAAATTTAATTTTTGGTGACATAGGGATTAGAATGACGTGAGCAAAAACATAATGTTGCTGTGTTTTGTTTTCTTTTCGTTTTCATTCTTTTTTTTTTTGCTTTCTTATTTAAATGTTGCCCAAAAGCATTTTGTTAATCCCATAAAACAAAAACAAATAAAAAAATTTATATAAATTTATATAAAACCAAATGAACGCCCACTACCAATTATGATGCATCATAATAAGCGTCTAGATTTAATAATGAATATATAGTTTTTTTTTGAATTTTGCCAAAATTTAAAGAAGATTGTAGTTTTTTTGTTTTCTCTTCTTTTGTTATTGTTAATTGGTAAAAAAAAAACTGTGATGATATCATAAAACTGCAAAATTAACTTCAACATCTGGTTTTTGCCGAACTAGTCCCATGAGTAACAACAATAATACGGCATAAGACGCATAGAAAGAACTAGAGATTGTTTTTATTGAAAAAAATCTATATCGACACATTTGACCATGAAAATCCTAGAAAATCTGCATTTGATCAATTTATTATTTATTAATTTTTATGTTATTAATAAAAACCGATCTAATAAAATTTTAATATAAAATGTATTTTACATATGTGCTGTCACTTTTTTACATATGGAAATCGAACTCGTCATGTGAAACATACGGAAATTTCAATGTGTCAAAACGAATGCAATTACATTGTATAGGGCTATTTTCGTATGTGAAACATAAGGAAATCAGCTGTTTGAATGAAACACATTGTTGGGAGAAAATATTTCAATTGCAATTCAAAGAAAAGAATGAAAAGGCAACAATTACAAATTATTATTTCGTTTGTAGGTGTTTAATAAAAAAATTATGTTGATTTAAGAAAAAATAAAAGTGTTTTTTTGTTTATAGGTTATGTCATATGTAAAATACATATGTATTTGAACACAAAAATAAATGTTTTGTGTACACTGCTAATTTTGACACACATAAGGAATTACATATGGATGAAATAAGTGACAGCACATATGTAAAATACATATCGTGTAAAAACACCATTATACGTCAAATAAAATCCACTGGATTTGTGAACAGGATTAACGTGAAGTATACGCAATGGATTTGACATTTACTTACACCAGTATTATCCCAGGATAACGCCAGAGATTTTTTCTTCAAAATCTTAATTTGAAAACTTAAATATTTTATTTATAAATAATAACTTTTGGATAAAATTTAGTTCCAGCATGAAGCTTGGAGAGTATAGAACAAGATACATCAATAAAATAAAATAATTTGTAGAAATTCGCTGAGATAACGGTTGATATCTAGCAGTGGGTCTGTAGTTTTTGGCGTTCTTTTAAAACGAAGGTGGCGCCAAATGACTTAATAAAATATAAAGTTGTAAGTCAGCTGATATTGGCTTACGTATGCATACACATTGCTTTCATATTTTGCAAGGCCTATTAACAAGGTCATCCAGGCAGACCAGTTGGATATCAGCTGACTCTCATGTTTGCTGTCAAAATCCATTATTGTGAATTGACTTTTATTATGAAAACGTAAAGTCTCATTTTTTGACATTAGACTTGAAAAAAAACAGCTGACTTTCGCTTGCAGGGGAAAAATAATATAGACATGTGTTGTTACAAAATACTATTTAATTTAAACAATTTTATTATTTAAACAATTTTATATTTTTCAAGGCTGCTGACATTTTATTAGTGTTGTATTTGAAATTATTTCAATTTCGCAT